AGGGGCCTTAATAATAAGAATGGGTTTTTGGGGTATATTGTACTATACTTATAATACGGAACCCCCAAAATGGTATAGGTAATTATGAAGGCCCCTATATTAGGTGCCGTCACAATCATGAGAAATGGATCGCACCTGACACATCATCACCAAGATGCTAGACGCCATTTAAACCCCTAAACGGAGAAACCCTCGAGAATAAGATAATATCAGTACTTCGGTCTGAGGATTTCAACTCTAAGCCCTACCTATAGTTTCCGTTGTAGTTCTCTTTTCGGTTAAACCAATCCTATAGTTAGGATCCTAAAAGGTAACCCGAAAGAAGAGTTACGATGGAGACTATAGGTAAACCCTGAAACGCTATGCGGTATAGCCTACGCGGAGTTTTCTTCCAAGAGGCTGCCAGTGGAGCCCCCGAGGACCATGGCAAAGAGGATCCGATGCTCAAGGCTTTCGCGCCGGTCGCTGGCTGTGCGCCGACCTGAATGCCTGCTAGGGAGGATTGGAAGGATTTTGGTTCGAGGGTTGCGGGGTTTAGGGGTTTCGGGTTGTCCAGGATGTAAAGGTTTATAAGCTCTAGGGCTTTTAGGGATGTAGGGCTTTAGGGCTTAGGATTTTTCAGGTTTACGGTTTAGGCTGGATCGGATTATTGGTTCAGGACGTTAAGCTTCTCGACACTTGATTTCCAGGATCTAGGGCTAGGGCTTTTGGGGCACTTAGGGCGTAGGGTTGGGGGCTTTCGCATGATAGAGTTTAGAACAGCAATGCCTTTCCACAGCTTAGGTTTTCGGGGATAGATGCAAAAAAACAAATGAATAAATAGATAAATAAACAAACATATATATCTGTAATATATATATATATCTATATATATATATATACATATATATATATATAAATATAATATGAATGGCTGTATCCGGTTTACGATTCAAGGATTAGTGGTTTGGGCTGTGGGGTCAGAAGTTTAGGAGTCTTCTAGGTGAACATGGATCCGGCCTGATAGAGAAGGGTTGCTGTAAGGGTTCCTGCAGGAGTGCTATCAAGGATCTACGGTTTCAAGTGATTTTGCAGAGGCCTTCAAATCTGGAACTGGAGTGCGAAAAGAACGAGGTTGAGGGTCCTTCGTGTCTAGAATAGACCCTAAACCCTGAACCCCTAAACCCTTAGACCCTTCGTGCCTTCCAGGGCAGTGAGGTTGCTGGTGGGGAACTCCTCGAACAAGTAGAGGATTCGTCCGTCGCTATGCAGCCACACTTCGAAATCGAAGGGACCAATCGAAGCGCTTTTGAGCAGCAGTCCCTCATACCTGCAGAGGGCGCTGGGGTAAGAGTTCACAGCAATCCCCGTTCTTCTGGACCCTCACGCGTGCATTCGCCTACATCCTCTACACCCTGACACTGACAACCATAAATTCCGAATCCAAGACCATCAAACCCTAATAGGGTTAGGCTTCAGCGTTTAGGACTTAGAGACCAGGTGGCCACGTGGGACTTGCGGTCAAGTTTTAAGGACTTCCGACTTAAGGTATAGGGTTTATTAGGGTTTTTTGCCATACACCCCTAAACTTTGACCTTGAACCACAAACCCTAGACCCTACACCCCCCAACCTTTAGCCTTGAACCCTAACTAAACCCCAAACCCAAACTGTAGACCTGTGGCTCCAAACCCTAGAGCCTTTGACCTTGAACCCAAAACCCTAGCCCTAGCATCGAAGATACCGGACGGCCACTTTCTCGACCCCCTGGCTGTCCGCAGCACGCGATCGAAATGCCGAAATTTTGGCCTCCTCGAGCAGGGATCCTACTTGCTGGGTTTTGCTTCAAAAACGACGCCGGTTCTTGTGCTTCGATCAATCAATCAATCAACCGGTTTAACCAACCAACTCAACCAACCAATTCAACGAACCAATCAACCTATCCAGTCTATATGTCTATCTACCTATCTATGTATCTATCTGTCTATC